GGGGCCGTGAGCCTGGAGAAGGCGTGGGCCGGCCGGGGACAGAGGAGCGGCCTGCAGGGCCCTCTCCAGAGTGAGCACAGAATGGAGGATGAAAGTTAAAACGCAGGCGACCAAAACTGCCTGCACGTTCATTTGACCTGAGGAAACGTCTCGGCCTGTTCAAGTCCCATAAGCATTCCAACTGATTCAGGGGCTCTCACGGGCAAGTCTCACACCGAGGCAACTAACCCACTGTAATCGCCCAAGAAGCAAAGCCGGCGGCCCCTGCGGAGCCCGCACCCGAAACCAGGTCACTGCCTGTTCCCAGCTAGTAGAGGAGGGAGACAACTGAGCTCAACCAGAGGGGGACAGAGGAGACGGACTCAGAAGGGGCACACTGACCAGACTGGGGGGTGGGCGGGGGGACGGAAACACAGAAATGGCTCCCAGACAGCCACGTTTACATTACAGCCCGGTGGGCCGTGTTCTAGACACCGCCACCGCTGAGGCGTAAACAGACACTCATTCAGTTAATTTTGGTAACATTTCCCTTTTCTGATACACCACCCTGGCTCGCAGCCTGCTTTTCCCTGGACAGCCAGACATCATCTCAAAACTCAGATGCGGAGCCACTGTTCAAGGCTGCCGTCTGGGAAGAGATTCAAGGGCTTGCGGAGACGTCTTGGCGCTGGGGAGGGTGGCTCCGAACACGCTGGGCATGACTCACTGACCAAAGGAAAGGACAGACACTGCTTCCTGGGCAGACAGGAGAGGCCGCAGACGGAGCCAGGAATTGGAAGAGGAGCCATGAGAAACACGGAGTGAGACTTTCCAAAACCTGCTGCTTTTCCTGAGGGTGTGATGTGGGCTTGTCACTTTGGAGACTAGGGTGCAGGGGTGAAGGACAGAAAAAGTCCACCCAAGGCAAGTGAGAAAATAGCTGCCAAGCACAGAAAGGCAGATTTCAAGCTGGTCCTTAAGCCGAAGGGCTCCAACCTCCTCTCTCAGCCCCAGTGGCCAGAACAAAACCACTATGACCTCAGTTGTGAACGACACCTTTTAATGGGTGAGTCAGCAGGGCCTTCCCGCTGCCCCCAGCACCTGGCAGAAAGGGGGGGGAGGGACACCCTGTGGGAAGAGGCCATGGAAGCCAAAGGACTTAGCACAGGGTGGGTGACCGCTCTCATCACCGGGTTAAACACCCGGTGCTGCTGGTCCCGGCGCGCCCCGCGGACTCCCAACATAGACCCCCGGAAAGGGGCAGGACTTAACTCCAGCTCACAGGCCCCGCCAGTCCCCGACTCCAGTTTCTGTTCTCGAGACTGGAAGGCTGGGGGTGACTGGACCGGCCCCGACCTCTGCGCGCACGGTCACTGGCGATGGCGCCGCACGAGCTGCGGGGCCTGGAGAAGGCGCGGGCCGGCCAGGGGACAGAAGAGGCCTGCAGGGCCCTCTCCCCGGCACTGGGCGCCAGCGGCACAGCAGCGGGGCCAGCGCTCTCAGGAAGCTCCTTCCTGGCCGGGCCCTCCAGCACCAGGATAGCCAGGTCTTCGACCCAGCCGCGGCCAACCTGCCGAGCCCCCGGCCCGGAGGGGCGCAGCAGCCCGGGCGCAGCGCCCGCGCATGGTCCTGCCTCAGGTTCCCCGGGCTCGGGGACGAC